TCGTGGGCTGTTTTCCGTTTTTGGTACTACTTATTTGTGTGAGAAAACCTTCTCCAAAATGAAGTACACAAAAAAATGTATACAGATCTAAATTAACTGACGAGCATCTTAAATCTCTTTTAATAATTGGTACAAGTAAAATTAGTCCACAACTACAAACTATTGTCGGTGGAAAATCTCAATTACATACATCTCATTAGCATTTCATATGTCATGTTATAAGGTATGTGTTGTTCATTATTTACAATGTATAAAATGTAAGTTGGATTCATTTCAATAATTTGTTAGTTATTATATGCTGAAGTTAAATTTACTGCATAAATTATACATGTCTTTACTCATTACCATTCTGTGTTTCTTTATCCAACTTATCACAAACATTTTATTTGCTATAAAAAATATTTGTCTCTAAAAGGAGTTTTCAAGTATGTCTCCGCGGGCCGGACAAAATCTGTCTGCGGGCCGGATGTGGCCCTCGGGCCGTAGTTTGGAGACCCCTGTTTTAAACGATCCCAACATAATTAATATCATAGTTAAAAGTCTTCTTGCTTTAATCGGGGGCCAATGAACTTCACAAACTTTTATAAAACAAGCTCCGATAAATACACTGTAATACTTGTATCGTGCGCAATAAAATTTATCTCTACTGTCATTGAGCATTTCGATATATCTGAGTGAAAATAATAGCGGCGGGAGACGGTCATCGTGAATTTAGAACCTAATGTGATTTAATATGTAGCAACTGATTAGCGATTTTTGTATGTGTTTACTATATTTTCATCTCTTCTCTCAATATAATCGTCCCCCGTCGCTTTTATTTTCACTCATATATATAATTGTTAAATGACAGTATAGATAAAATATTTTATTTTTCCCTTTTTATTGCATTTAAATAATTATTTAGTTAGTTTTTAATTATAATTTATTTCTATATATATATAAAACTTAGAATCAAAAGTTTAAATATATTCATAATATCAGCAGAATATTTAATTATGCACATCAATATTAAACACACCCAGTATTATTATCTATTTATAAAACCATTCACACACTATGATATCAGAATATATATGTAATTAATCCAGGCTCATTAGGCCTTTAAAAGAACTCTCTAACCACTCGTGTTGTCATTCAGAGAGACTTGTGTCTTTTTGGTTTTATTTACAATGACTGTGGAAGTCCAAGATATTAATAGTGTCAAGCAAATTTATTTCTAGGGATATTTTTTTATCTATTCCAGGATGACATTTATAATTCATAGGAGAATGGCTGTTTACTTTCTTTGTTATCAGAAAGCTGAGCAAATGAAGATAAGATGACCCACTATTTGGTCTTCATTCTAGCAGCTGGGGTAAATCGATCCTCTTTCAGAATTTCGCAGAGTATACTTATGCTTGGCCATGGCCAGTTAGGATGTTTGTTGAAGTGTACTCGTGTTTGATTCTTGGAATAATGGAGATCAGAATTCTTGGCGTAAATATTTTGAGATTGCTGGTTGTATAATCCATAATGTATAGGTCTATCAATAGATTCTGTGTGATCTGAGTTCTTTTATTGTGGGAAACGCTTTATAGAAATATTCTGAATAACAATGCATAAGTTATATGGTGCAGTGGGCTTAGCTGAGATGATACTTATAGAGACATGGCAGACGCCAGGATTTGGCGGGTAGAATTAGTCAATATTGTGGATCTATTTTATTTTGATGATTAAGTGTCATTTTTGAGTCTAAAGTCATCATTGTGTTGTATATTAAAAACCATTTCTGTATATAAAAGTTCAGTTTTAGTTTTAAGTTAATCATGGCTATAAGTAAAAATTCCATTGTTACGTTTAAATTATCAATTACTGTGGATAAATATTATTTTTATAACTACAGCCGCCACAATGTTTTCAATAAAATGATTACCAGCGTATTGCCAGTAAATTTATTTATGTAAAATTTTAACGATAGAGGGCAATTAAATTTAATTTAAAATGATTATTGTTAAGAAAAAGTTTAAATTTTTGTTGTTAAAGTTGTATTATTGCAAAATAAGTTTTTGTTGAGACAATAGTAGTCCATGCTCTGAATAAAATTTCATCTGTGTGGATAAAGTAGTAATTGTTGCAGATTATGTGATCATTGTTGTGACTAAACTAATAATCATTATTAAGAATTAGGCCGTCATTTTTGTAGCTAGTTTCATTTTTGTAGAATAAGTTTAATTTTTTCGTCTAAAAAAAAAAAAGAATATTCTGGATAAAATTTCATTGTGGCTGAAAAGTTTTAATTGTTGCGGTTAAAGTAGTCAATATCGTGGTTAAAGCTTCATTGTTGTGGAAAAATTTCCATTGTTGAAGATAAAGTTTTATTGTGGATGATTAATTTCACTTTTTGTGGTTGAAGACATGATTATTTTGAATAAAATTTCATTGTTAGGATAAGTTGAAAATCATTGTGGAAAAATGAGTCATTATTGCAGATATAGTTTCACATCGAAGCCTATAAATTAGAAATGTGGAGAAAATTTCATTGTTACCTATTATATTTTAGTGTTGTGACAAAAGTCACCATTGTATTGGGAAAAATCCTATATTGAGTTTGAAGAAATCATTGTTTGAATTAAGTTTAATTGTTGAGAGGATAACATAGTCATTGTTGTCAATTAAGTTTCTTTAAAAGTTGCGGGAATATTTATCGTTATTGTAGATAAATTTGTATTGTTGCCTATTAAGTGTCATTGTTGTGAATAAATAATTATTGTTGTGAATAAAAACCAATTAGTAGATAAAATATCATTATAGGGACTGAATTTTACAGTATTTTGGGGGTAAATCTGATTGTTATGGATAAAGTTCCGATGTTGCATGTAAAATAATCATTATTTGAGTTAAAGTTTTATCGTTGTTATTAAAATCGGAAAAAAATTGGAGCGGATAAAATAACCATTATTAAGAATAAGACAGTCATTGTTATGGCTAGAGTTTCGTTTTTGTAGAATGTCGATTCATGGGGAGATTGATTTCTTTAATCATTAATGATTTATTATTTAGTAAATTATCCACTGACATTGCCCCCTTCTTAGGTAAACAGCGTCTCGCTGTAAGTGAGGTTAAATAAAAATACTTTCTAAGCAAAGTATATACATTCGGGGCAGATACGGATAAATCATTGCCATCCAGAGTAGTTCCCCAAGAATTTTCTATAAAGAAGTAATTCTGATATTATGAGAAGAAAAGTAATCAACAATTAAATTCGAAACACAAAAAATCTACTATCGAAAAATGAATAAAATTCAATGATACAAACGTACTTATTTTAAAAAACACAAAAACTATTTATTAATGATAAATATTTAAAGTAAAATTGGAAGATAAAAATCTAGGATTGGAAAATTTACATATCAACATATATAGTCACGACCGTCATGGGCCGGCCGGCCGGTTCTGTCACGGATGCGCGCGCATCATCATTATGATCATTATCATTATCTAATGATAATAATAATAATAATTATTATTATTATTATTATATTATTATTATTATCCATCCCTATATATAGTCACGACCGTCATGGGCGGTTCTGTCACGGATGCGCGCGCATCATCATTATGATCATTATCTAATGATAATAATAATAATACTTATTATTATTATTATTATCCATATATATATAGTCACGACCGTCATGGGCCGGTTCTGTCACGGATGCGCGCGCACAGGGAGGTCACGTGCTCGCCGGCAGCCAACGGGCGCGCGCCGCCGGCATTACGTCATAGATTATAAACACAAGGTAATAGGGCCAAATAAAAAAATAGTGTGTGATAAGGCACAATTTGGATTATCTACTTATATAATTGCCTTATTCTCTCTGTGTGAAGTTCACTGTGTGAAGTTCACGGATAGATTTTGGTCAGAATGAATAAAATAAAAAAAGTGTCAAGGGATGGGAATCGAACCCACGACCTTCCACTTACCGGGCAGATGCCATGACCACTAGGCTACCCTGGACATATTTTTCCGTTCACATTTTTATTTTTATATTTTCAAGACACACACAGTTTGGGGCGGGACGTTTCACAAGAAAGACATCCACGGCGCCAATTTATAATTGTAACGAATAGTATTTTAATTAAAACATTTTAAAAATATATACGCACTCGGGTAAAACCCGGGCGTTGCCCGGGCCATTCGTCTAGTATTATACATTTAGGGAATAAAATAGGTGTGACGTGAGGTAAAAAATAATGAAAATTTTGGTATATAGATAGCTAAATATATATCAGTTTTTTGAAGGAGATTGATTAAAACTTTACAACTGAAAACTCTGTTAGTGTCTTATATATTCCAAAATCACTTTATTAGGTATCGCTCAAAAAGATAAACCTAGATCATGATAATTACAACAATGAATATTATGTGAAGGTTATTCATATATTAAACAAAATGTTAACGCGGGATTCAATCCCGGTTCATGGCTGTCGGGAATCGAGGGTGTTACCCACTCGTCCACCGACTCTTTTTATGGGTATTATCTATATGGATATGTGTGTAAAATATATGATACTTTTTTAATTAGGTTCAAAACCCATTTTGAAGCTGCCGTAGTAAAAATATTTGCTACAGTTTTCCTAATTAAATTATCTTTTGATTAAATATTTTATGTGAAAAAATAGTACTGGGATGAAGTGGATAAATTGAGAAAAAGGCATCTCTTTATTGTGTAATTTTTAAGTTGCTGATGGCTTGCGTCATCTGTCGGAATAAATATCAATTATTCGTTAAATTTTAATTATTCCGGAATTGGCCAAATACCGATTCTTGTTTAATCAAGAAAAGCTAACCACGTACGTGTTTTAAGTTGTTGGCCCTAGTCAGCGTGGTGCAAGCTATACCTCAACGACTCAAAAAAACTGGTCATTTAACCATCCTGAAAGCTAAAGGTGGGTGGTTAAGGCGAGAAGTACGTGATAACTGTTATTTTCTATTCAAGGTAAAAATTGAAAAAAAAAAATGCGACGGCCGGGAATCGAATCCGAGTCAACTGATTGGAGGGCAGCTATGCTAACAATTATACCACCGTCACTATGATTGGAAGTTTTAAACTAACTTTATGAAAGTTCTAACCGCTGGTTGCCTGCCTTCCTATTATACAAGGGGGATCAATAAATAAGGTTATTTATCTTATTTCTTAAAAATTAAAAAAGCAAAAATAATTTAAACCACAGAATATTAAAATATAACATCGAGAGACTATTTGAGGTGTTCTGTTTTTTTTTTTCCCACGCGCGGCGCGAGACTTATAAATAAACTAAAATGGAAGCTCCCTTGAAGGATTGCACCACGCTTGAACAACGTGCAGTTATTCGTTTCTTGAATGCAGAAGGTATTCAAACATCTCAAATATGCCAAAGAATGAAAAATATCTATGGTGAGTCTTGTTTGTCTTTAAAAAAACATTTATAAATGGGTTAACGTGCATCTATGGAATGGAAACGAGGCGACTCTCCAAGACAAAAAAAAATCAGGTCTCAACGTTCGGCCGGTAAAGTTTTGTTAACAATTTTTTGGGATGTTGATGGACCAATCTGTCTTGATTTTTTATCCTCAAGGCAACGTATGAACAGCGACCTTTATTGTGACATTCTTGTAAAGGTGTTCTCTTCCTTCATGATAATGCAAGGCCGCTAACATCATGTAAAAATGTATCTACAATCATTAAATTAGGTTTTGAAGTTGTAAAACATCCTGCATATAGTCCAGACCTAGCCCCCTCTGACTATTTCCTTTTTGGACTACTAAAGAAGGAGTTAAAGGGAAAGCGATTTGACTCGGATGAAGATGTCCAGAAAGTGGTGCAAGATTTTTTCACACGCTTCCTAAGAGTGCCTATAAAGAGGGTATTTACAAGTTTCCAGAACGATGGAGACGATGTATAGAAAGGCAAGGTGATTATTTTGAATAAAAAAAGTCCTAATTTTTAATATCGTTCTTTTTTTTTATATAAATTATAATTCACCTTATTTATTGATCCCACCTTGTAGTTTCTTTTTGTAAGTGTTTAACATTTAGTGGTTGTTAGGAATAATTCTAGCGTCTTGTGGTTCGCTTGTTTTTGTAAATATTGTCACGTAGTAAAACGAGGGAAACATAAATGTGAGAATGATAAATAGTTTTCATAGATCAATTTCATCCCGGAAAAAAATCCATCTATATATCTCTTTCTTAATTCATTCCAGTTCATATAGGAGGCTATGAAAGATATATTTTAAATACTCACATATGATTATTAAATCTTCATTAAAAAAAAATAAAAACTTTTTTCCTATTAAATTTTCTTCACTACGATAATTAACTTTTTTCCGAGTTTCACACAAATATGTCTTCTATGACCTTTCTATTGACTTACTAACAAATTGCTTAAGTAAGAACGAGTTTTGATGATGGTAATTGTGTTAATTTGTAAATATTTCTACCATCCCCTCAAATCTTATTCATATATTTCTTGGATAATGTCCTTCATAAAGAACTAGACGAATGGCCCGGGCAATGCCCGGGGTTTACCCGAGTGCGAATATATTTTAAAAACGTTGACTTGGGTGGTCGCTATTAACAGGGTGGTCTGTATAGACAGGTGGATGTATCACACAGCTGATAACAGGGTTGTCTAGAGTGGTCGCTATAGACAGGGTGGTCTGTATAGACAGGTGGATGTATCACACTGCTGATAACAGGGTTGCCTAAGGTGACCGCTATAGACAGGGTGGTCTGTATAGACAGGCAGCTGATAACAGGGTTGTCTAGAGTGGTCGCTATAGTCAGGGTGGTCTGTATAGACAGGTTTATGAGAGAGGCAAACTTACAGGTTGTTGACGCCGCAATCCCCAGAGAGAGTGTTTTTGTTGCATCATGCTGTGACTCACACGATGACCCAAGGTCAACAGGGGTGGAGCAGCAAACTTAAGCCTATCTCCGTCGTCGCAATGGTGGCGCTGCCTGCGAGCTATATCTACAATTCTGCAAATAACTCTAAGGATATTCAAGATATTCAAGAAATTACTTTTCGAAAACCTTTCCGGGGATATACCTAATAATATCCCAGAATTTCATGGCGATTGGATGTATGGTTTTTGAATAACAGGATTGTCTAGAGGGGGGCAGGGAGGACACGTGTTCCCTGGCAGCCAATGAGCGCGCATTCTATCCGTGAGCTTCAAACAAACAGACAAACAGACAAACAAACAGACAGAATAAGGCAAATATATAAGTAGATTCCTATAAAGTGTGTGCGGGTTATTTACTTAAATATTACACAAATAAATTTACTGGCAATGCGCTTCTTTTAAATATCATCAAATATTATCTCTACAGACCTTACTGCAATGATATGAGTTATTGAATGAGAGGACTTGGCTCATCAGTAGTGAAGCCTCAGCGGTTTCGCCAAATTAATCTCTAGACCGCTCTATTATTGTATTGGATTGGTTTGGAATATACCCTGTATTTTCTATGGAAACCGCTGAGAGGGTTCACTTCTGATGAGCCAAGCCCTCTCATTCAATAACTCATATCATTGCAGTAAGGTCTGTAGAGATAATATTTGATTATATTTAAAAGAAGCGCATTGCCAGTAAATTTATTTGTGTAAAATATCAACGATAGATGGCAATTAAATTTAATTTAGTAATACTTAAATATTAAAAGAGAAAATTGCTATAAAGTATAAAATATAGCAATATACGTTTCTTTATTCGTTTAAAAGGGTAGCTTTCGGATCTTTATAATCCTTCCACAGGCACTAGCTTCATTATGAGAGAATGAAAATATATATTCTCTCAACCTAAAGCTATGCCAATGATGGTGATGTCTTGTCCCATGGAATGGGGGGGTGCCATTGCCCCGTTAGTCAGCCACATTTCAGAGTCCCCTGTAGGCCTTCACGGTTACCGTAGCGGCTCACGACACCATACTACAGGGTAGCCCCTTACTTGTGCTGCTTCTTCCGCTCGCCACGTAGAGGAGGGGTTGGACTTCTAGGCAGGAGCTTTGCCATTGGAAGGATTATAAAGATCCGAAAGCTTGCACTTTTAACGAATAAAGATACGCATTGCTACTGTTTATATTTTATCATATACTAGCGGATGTGTACCCGGCTTCGCCCGGGTTTTATCCGAGTGAAAGTTTGCCTAACGAATATTATTGATAATAATATTCGGGAACACACAGAATATTATGATAATAATGATAATTATATTCGTTACGTCATATATTTATATAATATAGCGGATGTACCCGGCTTCGCCCAGGTTTTTCTCGAGGGAATGTTTGTAGTCTAGTAATAACAAAATATACTACACCTAAAAACTATCAGAGAAAAGAGAAACCACGGAAGGTGAACAGAAAAATGCTTACAATGGATGTATATGTTTACGATATCAATTTAAATAAAAACAAAGATAAAATTGGCATATGTTGGTCACTATAAATTAATATATTTGTTAGGCGAAATTAGAAACATGATAAAACAATATGAATATTTTTTAGATTGAGATTATTAGCTAGTATGTAAAAAAATTAACTCTGTTGAAATTTAATTTTGTATTTATATATAAATAAAATTAACTCTGTTGATTTTTTTTGTATTTAATCGATAACAGCGAAGTTACGCATGTTAAAGTTAGGAAAAATATTTTGATGTTAAGCAAAACCTGCTCCATCTCGTTTTACATAAATGTTGAAAATGCTGGATAATGGTTCAACACTGATGAGCCAGGCTCTCCCTATTATTTTGACTTAAGTAAGATGTGAATTGGTTTTTGTTTGATATGAAAAATCTACATTTTCGCTAAATGGTTTCTTATATATAGATAGATGCGTCTCAAAAATTTCTTATGTTTAATTTAAAACTTTTTCTTTAAACTGTGAAAGTGGGAAAAACACTGACATTTTATTAAAGTTATTAAATAAAAACAAACGATAGCAATGCGTCTCTTTATACATAAATTTTTTTTTTTTTTTTTTTTTAATATGCTAGCTTTCGGATCTTATCGATCCTTCAACAGGCCAAGCTGTAAATTGAGAGAAAGAATATATATATATAAATGTAAAATATTATTTATATACAACAACGAAGATAGAGAATAAAATATAAAATAAAATAAATATAAACACATTTCACGAGTTCACGTTTTCTCGTGGCCAGGCTGCTGTTGTTTCATCTCTGTCCAAAGCTCAGTTTGTTTTCTTTTATAGTCAATTGGTCCTTTTATTCTAATGGCTGGGCTGTTTTTTGAATGAGTGGTACTGAGATGGTAGTTCTATACGCCTGTTGATACTGTTTAATTCTTGAGAGACGAAGGATTCTATTAATAATCTTTGATATTTGGATTTGATGTTGTGGTAATGACAGGTTGGGTCGGAAAGGTTAAAGGCATGGCCGGTTTTTTCTCTCAACCTAAAGCTATGCCAATGATGGTGATGTCTTGTCCCATGGAATGGGGGGGTGCCATTGCCCCGTTAGTCAGCCACATTTCAGAGTCCCCTGTAGGCCTTCACGGTAACCGTAGCGGCTCACGACACCATACTACAGGGTAGCCCCTTACTTGTGCTGCTTCTTCCGCTCGCCACGTAGAGGAGGGGTTGGACTTCTGGGCAGGAGCTTTGCCATTGGAAGGATTATAAAGATCCGAAAGCTTGCACTTTTAACGAAGCCCAGCCATTAGAATAAAAGGACCAATTGACTATAAAAGAAAACAAACTGAGCTTTGGACAGAGATGAAACAACAGCAGCCTGGCCACGAGAAAACGTGAACTCGTGAAATGTGTTTATATTTATTTTATTTTATATTTTATTCTCTATCTTCGTTGTTGTATATAAATAATATTTTACATTTATATATATATATTCTTTCTCTCAATTTACAGCTTGGCCTGTTGAAGGATCGATAAGATCCGAAAGCTAGCATATAAAAAAAAAAAATTATGTATAAAGAGACGCATTGCTATCGTTTGTTTTTATTTAATAATTTATAGCAATTCTTTTGTCTATTTTATTAAAGTGGTTAAAGTTGATTAGGTTCTGTCGAA